TTTTCTGCACAGGGGCCAATCGCACTAGTTTTATTTATAGAAAACCTTAACTCACAAAGATACTGCAAAATTCTTGAAACCCACTTTTTCCCTAATGCTTTGCAAGCAGATCATGGCTGGCATTTCCAGCAGGACAACTCTTCCATTCATACAGCTCAGGCTACACATTGGCTTTTCAAAGATCACCATATTCGAATGCTCGACTGGCCTTCAAATTTATCTGATCTGAATCCTATAGAGAATCTATAGGCTATACTAAAAAATAGAGTAGAGAAAACTGTAAACAATAGGCTTATAAAAAAAAAAAACTTAGCACTACTGATTTTCAGTCAATTATTCAAAAAGAATAAGATGGTTTAGATCAAGACCTCTATCTTAATTTAACTGATAGTATAAAAAACCATCTTGAACAAGTGATTGAGAAGAAAGGAAAAAAATCAAACTATTGATATTTATGTGTTTTTTTTTTATAATGATTGTCATCATTTTCACGAATTTTTGTGCAAATAAAGTTTATTTTTACGAGTTTTTTATTAGTCATGAGAAAAGTCCAGATCTTTTCTGCGACCACTGTAATTGGAGTTTTTTATAGATATTTTTATTTAATCTTATACAATAGACTTATATTGTCAAAAGGTAAATAAGAAACTTATATTATATTATTAATTTTGTTTGCAGGAGTAATTATAATCTCTAGTTACCATATATTATCTTATTAGATTCTCCAATTATTAGTATAATACTTGCAACTTATTGTTAATTACATTGGTATTGACTGCTATATCACTCTGAATACTGTGAAGTGTAACTTCTTGGAGATTCAGATAATAATAATTATATAATGGTTTCTTAGATATATTTAGTTTTTACTATTAACAAGTAAACAAAATCAAATTTGATAATGATGATCATATTAATCTTTTGAAGAGGGTAAACCATTTAATCTTTTTTTGAGTATTATGGAAGAGAAAAATTTTTCAAAGTTTATATTTTAAGAGAAATTGTCACTTATTAAAAATTTCTGAAAAAAGAAAGTCTACTAACCAGAGGAGTGATAAAATAAAATAGTATTTTAAAAAAGAAAAAAAGATTTTGAAAGAAAAACCTTTAAGAGAATAGGAAAATCTAACTTTGGCAAGAAAAAGGAAAAATGAAAAGAAAAAAGGAATAAATTGAAAATAAAAAGTTTATAGAACAGAAGAAAGAATAAGAGAAGGGGAAAAAAAACAGGAAAGGAAAGAAAAAGAAAAAAAAAGAAGTAAAGAAAAAAATAAATAACTCAAAAATTTTTTAAAAAGAAAGTTTTTAAGTGTTTAGAGAAAAATAGATAAGAATTTTCATATGTTTTGTAAACTTAATATTACAAATTTATTTTTAAAGTTATATTTAAACAAAGTTATAAATTTTTTATTTGTTTTAATCAAATTTTTTTAATTATTTTTCTATTGATATATAATATTGTATTACTTTAACATTTACTAATTTTTTTCAATATATAAAATTAAAATCTAATTTGTTTTTTCAAATAAATATTACAATTCTAATAACTAATCAAATTTCAATAATTTAATCATATACCAATCAAACTAATTCAAACTTATTTATAATAATAACAATAATAATTACAATAATTATAAACAAATAAAAAAATTTTAGTAAATTTTTTAATTAAAATATTTCTAATAACAATATTATAATTATATAAAAATATTAAACTTTATATATATATTTTTATTTAATTCTTATATAGTTACTATATATTTTATAAATTTAAATGAATATATTAAAATTAATTGTTAATTTTTTAACAAAACAAGGTAGTTAAATTAGTTTATAGATTTAAATAATATAATTAAAATTTAAATCAAATATTTTTTATATTAACAAATCTAATAATTATATTTTTTGTCTTAAAATTTATTATTAATAATTGTAATAACTTGACTGTTTATAAATAAATAAATGATATTTATGAATTATTAATGGTTTGTTATTATTTATTTGGTGTTTTTTTTAAAAAATTAAAAATTTATATATAATAGATTAAATTTAATTTTCATAAATAAGTAGTATAGAATTTTTAATATAATATTAAAATTATTATTTGATCAATAAAATTTTATATCTAGTATTTATTTGTAGTAAAATAATAATAAAAATTTATTAAATAATATAATTTGATATTAATTATATTTTAATTAAAATATTATTCATAGCAAGATAATATTATTAAAAAATATAATATTATATTTATCAACAAACTTATAAACAAAAATACTAATATTTTTTTGATAGTATTGAAAAAAAAAGCAAAAGAAAATTTTATAATAGCTATAATATTAAATTTTTAAACAAATAGTAAAAAAAAAATATTATTTAATTAAAGAACTTATAAATATTAATTTGTAAATTAAAGATGATATAGCAAATTGAATTATTATTTTCTAATTAATAAAAATTTTTAACAAAAATATTAAATCTTTAATAAGAAATTTTAATGGTTAATTAAAATTTTTAATATAAAAAATTTTAAAAATATCAAAAAAAATATCAAAAAAGTAAAAAATAAAATAACAAATTATTTTAAAAAAAATATTTGAAATTAAACAAAAAAAAAAATTTAAGCAAAACAAAAATTTTAACTAAAGTAAATATTTTAATTAAATTCAAAGTTCTTTATAAATTATAAAAAAAAAAACAAATTAAAATATAGCAAGTTTATATTAATTAAATAACTATTTATAAACAATCTCAACTATTTAATTATTTTGTTAAGATAGATTGTAATAATAGTTAGGAATAATAAATTTGAGTTTTTTTAAAAATAAAAACAAAAAAAAAGTAAATTTGTTTATTTTCAAGATTAAATATTTAAAATAATATTTATATATAATCATATTTTTTAATTAAGATTAAATAAATATAATAAATACTTGTCTATTTGCAAAAAAATAATAATATTGATAAAAAATAATAATATTTAAAAAATTTTAAATTATACAAATATCATCAATTTATATAAAATACTTATGTTATTTACTATGATTTTTTTAAACTTGAAATAAACATATAAATTAATTTCATATTTAAGTTACCATTATTTTATAATATAAAAAAATGTTGATTATAAATTTTAAAAAAAAAACAAATAAATATAAAAAAATGTTTTTATATAAGATTGTTATTATTATAATTATCAAATTTTAAACTTTATTTTAACATAATATTTTTGAATACTGTTTACAAAAAAAAAAGTTTTGCAATATTGTATACCGTAGCTTCTAAGTATTTGTTAACTTGATTTCAAATAAAGTAAAAAAATAAATAGACAAGATAATAATAATATATGTAAGTATTCTTGTTTACCATTAAAAATAAACGAATAAAAATAAATAAATGAAAAAAGTATATTAAATTTTTCTTAATAGTGATAAATAAATAAATAAATTATTAAAGGTTATGAATCTTGCGTATATTTAAAAAATAAGTGATAAGATAATTATTTTTATGCACTGTAAAAAAAATTTTACAAAAGTTTTTTCACTTAAAAATTAATTAAAATTTATTTTAATTTATTTTTTTTTAGTAAAACATATGTATAACGAATTGCACAACTTTTATATGCAATAATTTTTTTTAAAAAAATTTTTAATAAATAAGTTTATTTGCCAATAAATATTGAATTGATATTATTATTTTGTATTTAAAAGAATGTAAAAGAAAAACCAAGTCCATTTATTGTTAAGAATTTAAATGAAACCATGGTAGAATAAAGACGCAACGTAATCGATAAATTCATTTCAGGATGTTTTATACATTGATTGACCATAATATCATTTATCATTCGGAAACATATTGTATGGATTTAAAAAGAAAAAATAATAGTAAAAAAGCGAAAATATTTTTTTATTATATAGTATTACTGTAAAGACCATCATTTGAAAAAATAATTTATCGGTTCTTCATTTAATTTTTGTAACCAAAACAAATGATTTGAAATCTAAAATTTGTCCATATGCACGATACATATTGACGCAAATAAATTTAGTTATGAGTTGACTCGTACAAAAATTTGAAGTGTCATGTTGGATATGCGAATATACAAAATGTACAGTATAACTTCCTCAAGCAAAGAATTCACAAGACATGTAAGAAATAACAAATAAATAAATAAGTTACCGTGTATATGAAAGTGTGCTTGGAGTCGAAAAAAAAAAATTTCATATTTTTGAAGTCAAAATTTCTTTCGTTAGAGACTTTAATTACATAGCATTTGCATACATTGAATGCCTTATACCATTATGTAAATCGACATACACGCTTACCAATCATAATTTTTCTACCGATAGAGAAATCTTAATACAGTACTTTCAGATAACTCTAATCATCAATCAGAAGAATGCTGTTATCTCTATGATCATTGAAAAGTTGTATTATGTAAAACAAGCCAGGGAACGTCTTATCGTTAGAATGGCTCCTTTTTTGTTCTGAGAGTCTAGCTTTGGGAATCGAGAATTACATAAGGACATCACAAACTTGTCTTCATAATATAATAGCGTAATATCCATTTACTGTATTAGTACATTATGTATAAAAATCTAATTCGCTGCGTAGTACCATATCGTGCGTACATACGCCTTTCTCTGTTTTATTTTCAAAACAAACAAAACAAATGCTTTTACCAAAAGTTTGTCCAAGTCAATTGATAATGTAGTGTAATATGAAATTTTACTAAAGTTTAAGTGTAAGGTTGGATACTATACATATTTGTGGGGGACAGAGGGCTCGAGCGTTGTGGCCTATCATAAATAGAAAGTTATTCGCATTGTGCACTCCTCATGCGTGCATTACATTTGCTTTTACGTATTTAAATGTCTTTAATTTACTCATTAGCTAATTTCTAAATCTTTTAAAAAAAAAAAAGAAAAAAAAATTTTTTTCTAATATAAATTTTAATTTTACATTAATTACATGTTTGCATCCTTTGTTTTCTACGAAAAATGGAATCAACAGATGATGATAAGAAACTAGTCTCACATTATACTTATCCAGATGAAACCTCGTTGTTTGACCTTGTCTATTCATTCGACTGGTCGTTAACTCCTCTGGGGTCCATGGATTCTTGGAGCCCTTCTTTGAAGATTACAGTGGTACGGTCAAGATCATTGAGTGTGAAATCAATAATGCCACGAATTTTAATAAATGTAGATTCTTTGCTTTTACTAACAGGATTTATGCCTACATACTGCATTTCCTACTGTGATATATTATGGCCTAGAACATGTTATGATATATAATCAAAGTAAGTGACCTGATATCCATCATATAAATTTTACTATGTTCGAATTTTTTTTTACCTTTGTTTTACAGTGTATAGGCCTATATTGCAAATGAAACATCCAACTGGTACTGCATCCTCATTTTTTGAGTGCGTTTTAATTATGTCAATCACATGATCACGAAATTTTGACGATCACTTCAGCTCTAGGGTCTCCTGCGAGAGAAGTTTGGACCGAAATTTATGATTCTCTGAAACTTTGGATCGACGAGTATATTTCATGCAATATGTATTTCCGTAGCACTGTATGTGTAGTCGTCTAAAATTTCTGATAACTTTAAATCCGTAAATCAGGATTTTCTCTAACGGCAAGGGTCAATTCCGAGATGACATTTTACTTTTAATGCACCGGGAGGGTTATATCGAAGAAAGCTATTTTTCATTCACTCTAAGTCCCATATTTGGAGTCGATGAAACTGTGGAGGGGGTGTTCAATGTTGTTCAAGAAACAACTCAACGTGTTTTGTCTGCTAGAAGATTGAAAACATTGAGTGGATTAGGAAATCGGGCGCTCGGTATATAAACAACTTAAACTTATTCATATCACGATTTTCATGATTATTTAATTTCGCATGGTTTAGGTGCAAAAACCATGGAAAGCGCTTGTCACCTCGTGACTTCTACCTTACGCGATCACAACGAAGATATTCATTTTTCACTCATCTACATTATTGATACCCATGACAACGTAAGTTATAAAAGAGCAAACCTAGTAGCCACGACTTTTGACGAGAATCTCAAGATGGTGAAGGATGATGATGGAATTGAAGAATGGAATTTTGTAAAAGGAAATTCAACGAGAGAATTGCCAGATTTCCTATTGGACACATTTGACACTGTGTGCCTTCAAGATAAAGATTCAGAACACAGGATTTCTAGCTACCAAGGAACCGCGTCAGATGCGAATATTTCTTCCAAACTATCTACTTGGCCAATAAAACAAGTGGTGGCACTAAATTCGCATCTGGTTGTTACTTTAAAAGATGATAAATCCAAGGCAATTCTTTTGCCTGTGCACGTGTCTTTTGCGGGAAGAATAACATTGTCTGCCGTAATCATTTGCGGATTAAATCCACGCCGAGCTTTGGATAGAGAATATCTAGAATTCTTGCAGGTATACATAAAATTCCGGCGTAATCTTTTGTCAATGTTACGTTAATTAATTAATTAATTAATTAATTCGACAACATCTGTAAACATTATCTGACTTTCTAAGCTCGTTGTTAGTCATGTGAGTTCAAGCCTAGCAGACAGTCGATCACGCGAAGAGAAAAAGCAAGCCAAAATTCTAGCTGACTTGAATCGCCAAAAAATAATGTTTTCCCAAAACATTGACCACGGACTGATGAGTAAGCATCGGAAAATTTGTAAACTTATGTACTGTATTCTACAGTATTTGCATTGCTAAACTACAGTATGACCATCTTATCTGATTCATAGCGCCGCTAACTTTAATGCTTTCACCACTCGAGGAATCAGTCAAGGCTTGTTTCCCGGACTCACCTATGCTCCCTGATCTACAGTTAATTAATCGAAGCACCCGTCGACTGCTTAAGCACACTAGCACCTTGTTGCAGGTTAGTCGGCCATAACACAGTAAAAGCAAACTAGGTTAACTCACCATACAGCAATTATTCATTTGTTTCTCGTGGAAATCCTTTAGTTTTCACGAATCGAAGCAGGTAATCTGGATGCACAATTTCGAGAGACCAATATTGTGAAATACACCCTCGAGTTAGCTTCAAGTTTTGAAAACTTGGCAAAATCCTTAAAATTAAGCTATCTTATTCAAATTCCAAGTTATGAAGAGTTTTATAGTGAGTTAAAAAATAAAGTATTTGTCGACAGAGATATGTATGAAAAAATTGTATTTAATTTGTGTGAGTATGGTTCTCCACTGATATTTAGTCAATGAAGCATTTATTTTAATTAATATTATCGTTTTAGGTTCAAACGCGTTCAAGCACACTTGGACTGGAAATGTTACAGTTCGTTTGTACCCAGATCGCATAAATGACAAAGAGTCTGTTACATTGGAGGTCTCGGACACTGGTATTGTTTTGTTCATATAGTAATTATTTAAATCTCTGTTATCAAATAACGTTTGACAAACCATCAAAATTATATTAAAAGGTGTTGGAATTCCGAAAGACGATGTTTCAAACTTATTTCAGCGCTTCTATCGCATAGATTCAAGTCAACCTCGTAGCCGAGAAGGTACCGGAATAGGCCTCGCATTGGTTAAAGAGTTGGTGACTAGGCACAAAGGTGAAATTTCCGTATATTCGGAATTGAAAAAAGGCACCACCTTTTTCATTTCACTGCCAACGGGTTGGGAACATTTGCCAGAAAAACAAGTTTACTTTGTAGATGAGGAACATAAATTAGGACTGGGTTCAATGGACGAGTATTCATTTAATGAACGGAACCTCTATCTCGAGGAATCCAACCAATGGACACAGGATGTTCCCAATGATATGGATGATAGCATAGATGACACCATGGATTTTGATGGCTTGAGTGTTTTGGATGAGAAAGTTGAACAACACGTCTTTCCGTCCCTATCATGCGACAATACATCCAAAATTCATGAAGTTTATTATCACATCCTTGTCGTCGATGAAAATGCAGACATGAGGTGCCAACTGATGATCCTTATATTCCCGGTCAAAATTGAACATATTCTAACTGATCTATTCGTTTTTTATTTATTCACCTATTATCGATAAAGAAACTATCTCCATAGATTATTGCGCAAAGAATTCAGAGTGCACTGCGCTTATGACGGTCGTGATGCTTTGAGGTTATTGAGGAAACTTCCTCAGCTACCCGACTTGATCCTGAGTGGTAAGGCGCATTTGTTATGCGTATAGGATGAGTGCATTTGATTCATCCACACCTAAAAAAACGTTAACTCATCTAATCTATTTACAACAGACGTTATTATGCCAAACATGGATGGTTTCGAATTGTTAAAGTTGCTGAGATCGAATCCGGTGACTCGGTTGATCCCCGTGATCTTGTTGTCCGCAAAAGGTGAAGAAGACACTGGCGTGGAAGGTTAATAATGATAGTCCATTCGACGAGTCTTTTATTTGTGATAACTGTGAATCACATATATTTTTTTATAGGATTGGAGCACGGAGCAGATGATTATTTGGTTAAACCATTCAGTGCCGAGGAGTTAATTGCTCGAGTCAAGGTTAACATCAAACTCTCGTGTTTTTGGAAACAACTTTTGTTGCAACAGAAACGACAATCAGAGACCAGGGAGTTGTTGTTTTCTATAAGCGATAAGATTCGCTCTGGCGTTAACATAGAAAAAGTGTTAAACATAGCTGTTGAGGAATTTCACAGAATATTACCCTGCGATCGAATATTTCTTATCAGGAGCGATCCTTTAGCTTTTGATTTCTCTCATATAATGGCATTCTCGGCCTCTGACCCAAACGAAGAAAATTTATCGGGAAAATCTGCTGCTTATGTAATTGAAACAAAGGACGCATGCATTCGTGAATTCCTTTCAAAACACAACATCTCCGACTTTCCCCAGATGAGTGAGGAGTCGCTTAAAAAAATTCACGATACGTTAGCGGAGACAAATGATTTGATTGTTCTAGAAAATTATTACACCCATATACTTGATCGTTACGTCTCCGTCATCGGCTTTCCAATTAAAACGAATTCCTCAGCATGGGGATGGGTCCTTGCTCATAGGTCGCCGAATAAGACCTGGTCCGACTCCGAGAAGGTGTTTGTCCAACAAATCTCAAATCAAATCGGCCTGGCAATTTCGCATGCAACACTCACGGAAGAGAAATTAAAAAAAGAAGCTCAAATAGAAGCCGCAAAAGCGGCTAATGAAGCTAAAGGACAAATTTTGGCCAATACTTCCCACGGTGATTACAGAACCGCGTTTCCTAAAGTTTATTTGACTTTCTTTAACTAATGAAATTTCCCAAATCTGTTCCACGATAATTGACAGAGCTCCGAAC